GAGTCCTCACGTGAGATGAATTCATGAGGGCACCTTTGACCCGCAGCTTACGGACCTTAACGTCAAGTGGCTACGGACTCTGGGAGAGGCACCTTGTGGCACCTCACGCTCTCCACCTTGACGTTCCTTCATCCCTTCGCTCCACTCGACTTCGCGGCTCAATGTGGTTTTCCCGTGGGTTACCCGACTCGATGCTCCTTGAGCATTTCTGGCGAGTTGGGTTCTCTTAGAAAACCTATTGTGTTACATCTTTACAGGCTAGTGCGTGCTCAACCTTTGTCGGGCTGCTACGTATGATATTCAAAATAAATCACAATTGAACGGCTAGAGCCAGTGAAATGGGGTGAAATTTCTCTACATTCCGTAGCAAGTGCCGGTTTGATTTTAGCGCGCGCCCGGGCCCCCCGCTTCAGCTTCAATTTGTGGGTGATGGACTGAGTTTTTTTTGTAGAACCGGCCGACTACCACCCTGAATCAAAGTCCCTGATCCGAGCCGTGGTCACTGCATTACCTCGACTCTACTCAGCTGCGGCCTGTACTCGCATGCCAATGAGTATAACTGCAGTTTACCCGTTCACAGAGTGGTTTATAATGTTGGTCGCCGTTCGTTAGATCGCCGCTAGGAGCATTAGGATGAGGCGACAAGGTACGAACGCGCTTGGTTCGGATTCTACTGGCAATTCTAAACATGGAGGGAGGGACATATGTACTAAGACAGCACGAAATAGATAGCATAGCAGATAAGACAAGACAAATAGAGAGAGTAGTATTGTTGTAACGTTGTGATCTCGTTGTCTCTTTCGTAGCTACCACAAAGCTTGCCCCCTTTTCTTATCGTCTTTACTATAAGTACAATAAGTTATTCAACCTCATCTAAAGGCCCTGAGTTTATCACCAATGACAGTCGCTGAGTCCTCGGAGGAGCTCGAACATGATACTGGAACCGAGAAGGACTCAGTGACTAATACTTCTTTGTCTCCGGAAGTGATTGCTGTTAGAGACTTGATTATTTCATGGCTTACGATGGTGCCTGTTGGTATTGATGTTCTGAACGTTGCGGTTGAAACCCTCAGGGCTGTTGCCCCCGATGATTCTAAGGAGACCTTTGGTGAAGGGGTTGATGCTGCTTCATTGGTGACTAACGTGCACGAAGGTAAGGTTGCAACTGTCATCAAGATGTTGTATGAGTATGGCCGAACAGAAGATCGTAAATTCCAAGCTGCACCACGATGGGTATTTTTAGGAGACTTCTTCCTTTGGTTACTAAAAAATGGGGTGCTACTTGTCAAGAACAACTGAATCGTATTGGTTTTGAAGAAGAATTGGGTGGTCAGGTCACCTCGATTATGTCCAAGAAGACTAAGC